CTATATGTGGTATAACTCAATCTAAACCCAATGTAAATTCAGACTTGAGTTAACCACCTCTGCTGGGCCTCCTGCGTGTCCTCCTCCCGCCGCTGGGGGTCGCTGCCCCCGCCTCCCTCTGACGGGGAGGTGAGCGCAGCTCCACGTGGTCCCTGTCCAGGGTAAAAGCGGAGCAGAGAGCCCCGAACAGCGAGAGGCTTCCAGAGCAGCACCATGTCTCTGTACCGCAACTCCGCCTGGTTCCTGAAGGGAGTGACCGAGTTCACCAGGTAAGAGCTCCGGACGGCCGGCCGGCGGTGGGACAGCTGCTGGTCCCTGTGTGCTGGTCCAGGAGCGGCTGCTGGGTCCTCAGAGCATCCTCACTGCTCTGGAGGAACTTTAATCCAGCAGCTGATTGATGCTCCAGATCAGCACAGAGGCACAAGTTTAGTGGAGGTGATGTGAAGCTGAAGGCACAAAGAGACTCATGATGGATGGAAAAGAGGAAACCTGCTAATTATGAGGCCAGATTTAACTGAGTGTAATTTTCATGGTTGTACTTTAACTGTGTTTTTAAGTCTGTTGGGCGTAAACGTCTCCAAATACTAAAAGTGTTAAAATATTTCACTTTTACAGAATCCAGTTTCTATTAATCAACATTTAACCCTTTTTATTCCAGCTGTTCATTTTAAAAGTTGATCATTTCGACCACAAGTTCTAATTTAAAACAGTATTTACTTCTTGTTAAAATGACGTCCGTCTGTGCCTAACTTTTGTTTTAAACATTTTGAATGCTGTAAACTTTAAACTAATGCTGTGGTTGTGTGTGAATAGACTGGGAGTGTGTCTGGACGCCTCCTAACCCTAACCATTACAACATTTATAATATTATTACCATTGATAGGACAGAATGGAAACAAGGACGTCCAACTAAACTGTTCTAATGCCTTTTAGTTGAGACTTTCTTTGAAGATTCTGGCTGATATAAATCTCTATGTCATGCAAAGTGGAGCTGCAAAGAAGTTAAATTGTCATTTTTTAAAAAATCTATCAATCATTTAACACCAACTCAGGAAGAAATGTCTTATTTACTGATTCCAGCATCTAAAATAAGAGGATTTGCTGTTTGTGTCTGTTTTTCATGAATGTAAATTGTAAATTTTGGGCTGTTGATGAGACAAAACAAGACATTTAAAGATGTCACTGGGGTTCTGGGATGCTGCGGAGGCCATCGTTTGCTATTTTCTGACATTTAAAAAACCAAACAGTGAACAGATAAGTTGAGAAAACATTCGGTAATCATGATAATTATGACATATTTCTAGAGTTCATTAGATCAAAGTTGATGTGAGGATTGGCTGATTTTTGTTCCCGTGGTGGTTTATTATCAGCCTCTGACTGACACGGCATCACTGACCAGAAAGGCAGCAGCAGAATATGACAGATTTATGAATCAAAGCTCAGTTTACAGTGACTCAGCAGGAGCCATGTAAGACCATAAGTCAGCTGTTCAAGCACAACGGGGCTCTAAATACTTTATCAGTCCTATCTGATGTGGAGCGGCGGCCCTAAGGCGCCTTTTCCTCATCAGTATACAGCCGGCCAAGTCGTCTGAAGAGGTGCTTTTGTGATCGTTTCCCTTCTCTCCTTTGTTCTGTGTTATCTTTACTCCCAGAGAGCTGCCCGGCAACCCGCTCTGACCCTGCACTAATAGCTCTCTGCATGACACCATCGAACAGAGCGAGCATTTAACCCCCCTGCCGTCCCCTTAATCCCCCCCACCCTCCCTTGAGCCGCCCTCAACAATGGCATCTAGGACAATGGGGGGAATTGAGGTCCTCGGTGCCACACATGCACAAACCGGTGCTGTTGTCACCGCCGGTAGGCTCACGCCAAACGTCTTCTCGTCAGACGCGATGCCAGGCACACTCGCTCCTTCATTGTGTCGGTACAGTAAAGCTGTGAGGAGGCGTACAGTGAACGGGCCGACCTGGAACGCTGACCCCCGCTGACCCCCGCTGACCTCAGCACACACAGCCGCGAGCTGATGCTCGCGGCCGGAGGCCACATTAACACGATGCAGTCAAGTGTCATGTCTTGCAGGAAGGCCTTCTTGGCAGCCTCCAAACGGTTTGTGGAGAAGGACCTGGAGGTGTCCGTGGCCGGACGCTCCTTCATGATAACAGGAGCCAACAGCGGCATCGGAAAAGCCACCGCCATGGCCATCGCCAAGAAAGGTCAGCGCAGAAACATCACGGGCTGAGACTGATGGGTTAAAGGTCCAGTCAGCCACACCAACAGTGGTGCACACGCCTTTGATTTATGGCACTTGGTAGCTATCCCTGTGAAGCTAGCCTCATTTATTTAACAGTCACAACAACAAACAATAAATAT